CTTTCCCAGCGAAGAATATGTGCAGCTTAAAAAATCGTGGATATAAAAAAAAAAAAAAATTACGTCGTTTCTAATTTTTCCGTTTGTGAGAGAAAGAGAGAATCTTTCGCTGAAATTGCAATCATACAAACGCTCAACGAAAAATTAATTAAATGTATATTCGAGTAATCCAGAATAAAATAAACAATATATTTGATTTGATTTTAACGATCTGTTTACAAGCATTTTCTACATGGGAATCGTGATACGTAAATTACGCGATCGATCGGTCTCGTCCGAGATTGTTGTCGATTGCTCATCGGTGGCCTCGCCGGTTAATAATTACAATAGCTGTCTTGTATGCCTGACAGCAATTTTGCGAGCTTTCGTAATCACGGGCGGTTGTCATAGCGGCGGTAGAACGACAGGGGGAATGGAGGAGAAATCGCATAAATTACTAATTAGAATGCGATGAAACGAGTGGATCGGCCGATGATTTTTCTTGCCGCTTTCGTGCTACGCTTGCATGAGAATTTCGTGTCTGATCAGCTATCGCATTAACTAAACATGCCGCCAGATACTCTAGATAGAATCGCATCGGTCTCTAATCTAAATCAGTTTACAAATCGGGACATCGATTATCGAGGCAATTTATCGTCTGATTTAACATGTTTATTATTAGATCCATACATATCTAACAACGAAATTTATCATAGTTCTGAGACTCGGGGTATTAAGAAGTGTCGTGACATAATGTATAGAGTAACGGATTTACGATTATTGTTTTTTTAAATTAGATAGAGAGAGAAAGAGAGAGAGAGTTTAGTGAGGTCGTGCGTTAAATATCGCCCGCGCAAGAAGCTGTTTCGTTATTAATATCATGCGTTATTAATATGAAACGAACGTGATAATTGGTAAATCTCACGTTTAAATCCAAGTCATGGACGCCACGCGATCATTAGCCTTTCAAAGTGCATGCAGCCGATACAAACCGCATGCGGCGTGATTGTTCACGTACGCCAGTAGAAACTCCGCGATATCGCCAAACTCTATCGCCAAGAACTTTTATACCGCGCACTCTTTTCACCGGTTCGTGCCAACGGCCGTTCCACAAACTCCGATTAATTAAATTTTCTCTCCTTACCTGAATCGAAAGCTGAATTCGCTGTCGAAATTTCGTCGAATTTAAGAGAACGAAAACACTCCTTATCGAATTGAAAATCTTTTTCGCGGCTCGTGCTTTTCGCAGTAACTTTTTTCCATTAAAACGATTTCACCTGCCTCTATTTCCAAGTCTACGTGCATGAATGCACGTTTTAAATCTGCACTTTTATTTTGTTTTGCGACGCGAATCTTTTCGAGTGAAGGAGAATGGACTGTATAACTTGGTATTCATGTATTACGTATTCTCTTGCGAACGAAAATATGTTTCGTGTACGTGCGAACCTGAGGATCGGCTTCCCACGAGCGACAAACGCGCGTGTTATATGCGTGCGACCTTAGAGTTAACAACATGGGTTTCGTCGGTTACTTGAAATGTGTTCCTAACGTTGAATCACCATCGTGCGTATCTCGAAGAAAGACATTTTACACTTTATAATTTTGTCAAAGGAATTAATAAAACACAGATTCTCCCACATTTCGGTCGCGTATAAATATAAATCATGTTAGTCATTATTTATTCAATCGCTTGTACCAACCGACTCCGGCGGAAACCGAGGACGATAAATGCGTCGGTTAATCGCAGCTTCCTTCACCAGAAACACTTATCGCCCGTAAATTTCCGCGTAAAATCGGACAAATTAACGCGTTCATCGTCGAGAGTCCCGAATCAATTTTTCACCGTCGCGTTCTAATAGATTCTAAGCGATTCTAACGCGGTACGTTTTCGAGGTCGTTCTCTTCGGACCATTAATCAGGTCACTCCGTTCCGTTAGTACTCGTCCTACGGGAGATCTCGCGTAATCGGACGACACGATCGGGACGATTCGAAACGTGTCCTGCTTATGTCATCCCATTGGAATCACGACAACGATGTTGTTGACGACTACAACGATGATGACGTTCTTCGAAACGCAATCGCGGCTCGCTCAACACTGAATCGTTTCCTCCGGTTTCCTCCTACTCGCGTGGCCACTTCTGTAACGTCGTTCGTAATATGCCCCACTACCGGAGGAGCGCACTATAGAGAAAGAGAGAGACAGATGTGTCCCACGTGTGCGTGCTGCGCACGGTCCATGGATCACGTGGCAGAATCTATTAGCAGATTGCGGTAATTCGGTACTTGAGAGGTGCAGTTTTCAGGTCGGCAAACGTTTAAATCATCGATCGGGGTTTCCTTCGAAAGGAAGAATCGTGCAATGTTCGTCTCGTTTAAAAGGTACGCGCGAGATAATTAGAAGCGATAAATAATAAATATCTTCGCGGAATGAGAGAGAGAGAGAGAGAGAAAGGGGGAACGTATATTGCGCACGACACACACGATTTCCGCTTTGCAGCGAAAACGCGTGCAATATTTATATTCACATGCCATGCGGAGCTTCGTAAAAATATAAGGTGACATTACGTTATATTTCTTGTCTGTTTCGTTTGCGCGAAAGCCGGGATATTTCTGAGCGTAGCATATCACAATAGAATCCAGATCGAACAACTTTGGAGAAGACGAATATAATTCATGCGGTCCGTTTGCGTATCAATGTTTCCGATCTCTTCGATGTGTGTGATTAGCCTCTCAAAAATATAGTTGCCTATATGTACGTAATATTGGAAGTATGTCATACATAATGACAGCGGATGAATTATTTATTCTGGGAATTATTTTTATCCACATTTTTCTGTAATAAAGAGTTGGATTGAGGATGAAGCTACTCTAATATTAATTTCCTTCTTGCGTACGTGAGGAAAAATAGAGTTTAAAGATATCTCAGGATATGGCAAATTACCGTCGAACTTTTTATCTGGAAGCTCTGTAAAACGTATACATATATCGCTTTCGTTCCGTGTACACGTCGCCGGCAAATAAAGCAAATAAGGAACGCTCCTGTGTCTTCATTTTATAAAGCAAGCTTTACTACCCTAATATACGTATAGCTCGGCGCAACTTTCCCTTTACATGAAAGAAATATCGCGAGCGAAAAATGTTGCAACGCTGTAAATTCTCAATATGGCGAAATCGTGCGTGCCGCATTTTTCACATGGTGACGTGTAAAAACCCGCTGTCAGCGATCTCGAGAGGAATGCGAGTAAATACGTCGGAACATACGGTGACTCCGCCGAAAGCAATTCCTTCGCGATTAAAAAAAAAAAAAAAAATTGAGAAGGAGAAGCAGAAAAGCTGACAGTTGGTCAGGAATTATATATAAGTCATATGGGGGAAAAAATTTATCAATTTCTCGAATTATTAATTTTCCAATTAGCTCTGTAACTATGCATTCTATCTGCGGTTCGCGTGCGCCGTTATCATAGATAACATTCTAACTTGCATTCATCGTGCTCCGAAAGCTTACGCTAGCAGCGAAAATGATAGCGTACGATATGTCGAGCACGGCAGCACGTGCTCACGATTGCCGACACACGAGAGAAAGAGAGAGAAAGAGAAAGAGGCACACAGCATAGGGCTGTAAAATGATCAATAACACGAAGCGAAATAAGGCATAGAGAGTAGTCGATGGACGGCGAAGAGAAGCGGCCCCAAATAGCTGAAGCATCGAGTTGTCGTTTATCGGACAATCGCGGCCTCGAAACGTGACCCGTATATAAGTAATTAGCCCGACGTCAATTTCGCGACAACATCTCGCCTCGATTGATCGCGATCGATTAATTAAATATTGGCACCATCTGGTGCCACGGAACTTGTATAACGGAGGCGGTTTAATTTCATTAAAATTTCCGGGTCTCTCTTCGCGAGCGCGCAGAAATGAATGACAAATACTTAATATCGCAACAAACGTTCGCGCTAAGGTATCATCGTATACAGGTATAGTTTTACGCAACGATCGATAAACAAAAATGTAAGCATTCGTCGTGTTTCATCACCATATGAAACAGGTTTCTAATATCAAGCTGCGTCTTCGGCATTCATTAATTAATTGCGCGCGAGAAAGTATCGTCATTTTTTTTCATTATAAAAAAAAGCATATTAGTAAAAATCGTAGAATTATAATATCACCCTAGAAACATTCGAAGCATATATTTATCGATCTTCCAATAATTCCCTACTATGTAAACAACGGTCGCGCCGCAGGATAACGAGGACCGTGCGAGGAAGGATGTAACGCGGAAGTTTGATCGATTCGTATTCAAGCCGGGGGTGGCTGGGGAATCTCCAGACGGACGGCGGATATTTGTGTAAGCTCCCCCTCCGCGTTTACTTTCCGAGCACGTTGCCCATCCAGACGGGATTCTCGGGGGCGCAATTTCGCGAGGTCGCGTAATTTGTAACGTAACTTTTGCTATCGAGGTCTCCACCCTACCCTACCCCCGCGCACAACTAATAAGAAGTTCGTTTCCCGGCCGACCTGCCGCGGCCGGTGTTCCACCCTATGGCGCCCTTTCGGTTTCGGAGGGCACATGGCGACCGCGCCGCTGGTCGATAACCAACGCTCGGCAGACACCATGTGATTCTCTCTATCCCCCTCTTGCGTTTCCGATACCCCTTTTACCTTCCCTCGAGACCCTTCACCTATAGCCGCCCCATAGGCGCCGGTAAAATTTTTCGCACGCGAACTGATAATAATGGTAACTTTTGAGTATAACAAATAAATAGAATAGAAAAGAAATTAATGCTTGTGTTGACCAAAAAAGGAGAATAAAACGAAGCAATATAGGATTGTATAAACATATCGTTGAAAAAGGAAGTGCACTTGAAAATTATTAAAATATCAAAATTTATTTTTTTAGAAAGCAATAGAATTTTCTGAACATGTTGAAATGTTTTTATAAAATTATTTTTAGATATATTTATGTGTTTAAAAAAAGATGTTGAATGTATAAGAATAGCGTCAAAATCTTTGAAACGCTATCTTGTAAAATAAAATCATGATTTGCAGTCTTATGTATCTTTTTCTTAGAAATTATTTGTTCGATTGTTATTTTTTTAATCTAGAAATAAATAAACTATGATTCAATCGTTCGATTAAAAAAAATTGTAATTTTATCAAAAATTACGTACAATCAATAAAGTCGACTTTATTCATATTCACTATAATTAAAATTCGGAGAGGATTTATTCAGTAAAAACCACGGATCAAACTAAAGCCAAATATATGAAAAAATTATTCGGATATCATTGACCTAGTGTTGAAAAAAATGAACATAAAAATAAATAGTTTTGTCACATGATTTTGCAACTGTTTGTCCCCTTAAATCATTTATACATATTTATAATAAAAATAATGAAATAATAATGTAAGAATTAAGTAAAATAAAAAACACAAACGTTGCTGCGAAAATTTAAAAAAAAAAAGGAGAGAAGAAGGAGAAAAGTGTCAAAAAATAAGCGAAACTTTGTTTATTTACGAGATATCGATTGATAACATTCGTGGAGTCTATAACGAAACATTATCCAAAAATATTGTAATGAAACTTTTTTTCCACCCTTCTCGCGCGAAAAGTCAGAGAGATGCAGATGCATCTCGTTGAATTCCCCTCACTCGTCTCACTGTCTCCCTCTCCTTCTCTCTCTCTTTCTCTCCCCCGTTTTCCATCCATTTCCGTCTTCCCTCTTCGCCATTATATTGATCGTGACTTATAATACCAACGTATGATGTATAATGTTGTAAATCGAAAGGGGGAAATCTCGTCTGCCATTTTCCGACAGAGATCTTCCGTGACCCATCTCACGTAGATATGGAGATTACGCAGGATTATCAATAAAGAGAATAGTTGGCGCGCCGCCCGGCTCAGATAAGCCAGCTCGCGATCGATCAAGGTCGCGATCGATTATGTCGTTCTATCAGGTAATTCGATCGAAAGTCAACACACATTATCCTTTATCTTGTTAACTTTTTTATAAGAAAAATCTTTTCGAACAAACATATGTTCGGCAAACATACACACGTAGATAGTTAATCTAGAACTAATTCTTTTTTTTTTCTTCTCTTTTTAATAGAAGTTTCTGTGAATCGATAACAATGAGATAGTTATGTGTCATTTTGCCTCATATATCATGTAATGGAACACGCATCGTATTTTTGCAATTCACTTAATCCAATCCAATTACTTTTGATATCCCTTTCGAAATGCCAGGCCAACAACACATTTCCTGTTACGTCACGCTTGTGATTTCCCCGGGGGATTCCTGCTTCGAGTTAAAAAATTGCCATTCGTCGCGAAGAATCGAAAAATTCTCATCTCTACTAATTGTTAATTTCGTTAATTGCGATTATAGCGAGAGAATTATTATCGAGAGAGAATCGCGTAACTCTTCTACTATCTGCGCTATAAATCTTTTCTACTGTGAATCTCTATAATTGGTGTGAAACAAATCGCGACAGCGATTTGTCCGTCGATCCTTGGGTCAGGCGACAATGTCCTTACCGGTGCACTATCCAGGACAACTTCCCGATAGCTTAAGCCGGCTAAATACATTTCCACTTCCCTTATTGACCTTCCGGTATCAACCACCCCCAACCCCCTGGCTCTCGGTAATCGGCACGCCGTAAAGGTAGCGCCACGGTAGCGGTCGAAGACTATCGCACGACGTAAACGGGGTGTGAGTGTGTGTGTGTATGTATGTGTATATGTGGATTTAGATAAATATTAAAGGTATCCCACGAAACGCGGTGTCCCAAACGCGGTCACCAAACACACCGGGTTATCCCCTGACAGCCCCCTCACGCGCTCACGTTTGAGCGATGCAAATATTTAAACTGGAAACAGTTTCGCTCCTAGGAACCTGTAGTTGAGGTTAAGCCATCGGATCATTAATCCCGGATTAATCCCGGTAGTCGTATGTCAGAGCAATCAACCTTGAGAGGCACAAGGTGTCGGCGTGACTCTCCTCAATCTCTCGCCCTATGTCTCTCCCTTTAAAATGACGTTTGCTTTTACGAGAATCGCGGGACTGTTTTCGATATTTCGGGAAAATATGAATTTCCATCCATATCGGAAAAATTCCCGCTGTAATGTTAAATATAATTTACATGAGAGAATTTACATAATATGTATATTAACTAGGATTTAAAATCGCGATTGTACGCGGCACTAAACGTGACCATATGATCCGCGGTTCATAAAATAACACCGAACGCGATATGCACATGTCCACATTTAGCGCTATACACGAGAAACGTCTTGTGAATGCCGTGCTTTGTCTTTGCAAAACGCCCCGACAATAAAAACATATATCGCGTCATTAAAATCTCGAACAGATGTTTCGGCTTCAATCCGCCAAATGGTGCGACCTATCGTTATCATTGCTGTATACAAGAGTGAAAAATCCGTAAAAAATTTTCAATATTCAACATCACACTCGCATTTAAATTAAATACGGATACGTTTCGGTGAGGGGGAAAAAAAAATAGATTATTTTTCGATAAAACGGATACGCGTACAGAGGGATATTCGCACATCTGACATTCGTGTATGCGCGTGCAATCGGAATTTTTTTCGCCAAAGAAATCGCGCGGCCAAATTCATCGCTTCGTCCAAAGAGATCATCCCCTTCGACGACAACGACGTCATTGCAGTACTCACCATAGTAACGAGGGTGTCTCGTCGTCCGCCTTTATACGCGTCGAGCCAATCTCAGCCAGAGTCCGGCCGAACGATCGTCAATCGCGGCAGCCACCACACTGCGGAGGATATCGCCACGGGAATGCTACACCGCTGCTGCTCCGCTCTCCGGAAAAAGCCGGGGGGGGGGGGGGGGGGA